TTCTTGAGGCTGCCAGTGTCCTCAGAAGTCCAGGCCAGGCGGCCCCATCCATTCCACCCTTGGCTGGTGACTCACAAACCTCACTCCCTTGGAACTTTCCTTTCCTGAAAACCTTTAGGGTATAAAAGGCAACGGTTCCTGTGGACAGAGGAACTGCCTGAGGCTGAGCCTGGGCATAGCAGCTGTCCTTAGCCACCTGACAAAATGAGCATGGTGACAGGAGCCTGGGGGGTTAGGGCAGGCTGTGGAGGGCCAGGTGCCGGCTGTGGGAAGTGGAAACAGGAGCTGGCTCATCCCTCAGGCCAGGGCTCAGACCAGCTTCCTCCCCGACAGACCTAGCAAGAGTGTTACTTCCCTAAGGCCCAAGACGCTGGAGACCAAAAGGGCCCAAGGTGTTCATTTATACAAAGTGACTGAAACTTGCTGTGTTCCCCCTACCAGATGCTAGGGACACCGCTGTGAGTAAGATGGACTTGGCTCTCAGGTAAGAGGGAAGACTAGAGGTTGGTCTAGACTAGGTACATAGAGGCCCCTCTGGGTGAAGAGTGAGCGATCCAGACACTGGCAATGACTAGTGTCAAGGCCCTGAAGAGGGAGGGACCCCTGTGTCCTGGAGAAACAGGATGAGGTCAAGGCCTAATGACAGTAGACCCCAAGAGGCTTCTACAGCAGCAGTCTGTTCTCTGCTCCGATGGCTTTGTCCTGCCTGCTCGGCAGACGTCCGGAACCTGAAGAGGAAGTAGGCAGTCATGGCTGCTGTGTGACCAGAAGCTGGCCTGGATTCCCAAGGGAATCTATCAAAAGTCCATCCTCTGCAGGAAGCTTCCATGGCTTCCCTTTTGCCCCTGACTCTAGTAAGGGAACTCCCGGGAAATGACTTGGGACCCTTGTGTGAGACCAAGTGACACCCAGTACCCCCCACTGCGGAAGGGAAAGTCCTTGAAATAAGATGCATAAGAAAAGAAAATGGTGAGTGAGCCTGTGTGGAAGGGGAAACCTGTGCCCTGGTGTGATGGTGCAGTCGCCATTGAAGTCATCATGCAGGCTTCTCAGCCAACACCAGAACTGGGGTTGATCTGTTCAGTCTGGGCAGTCCGCGTGCACTTGGATGCCATGATTATCCCAGCAGTATTCACAACAGTCCATATGGAACTAGCCTAGGCATCCATCAGCACACGAACAGATAAAGAAAACGTACACTGCAGATTCATGCAGACACCAAGGAGAAGGAAATTTGTGTAGAGAAATAGGTGGAACTAGAAATTGCGTTGTTAAACCAAACAAGCCAGACCCAATGATCACGTTGTCTCTCAGTCTAATTATTAAAAAAAAAAGTGTAACTAGAAGGGTACTGTTTAGGAGGAGAAAGGGGTCCCGTCAGGGAGCAGAGAAATGGGGTGAACATGATCAAAGTGTTTGATACATTTGTGTAAATGTAACATAAAAAAAGTCTAGAATGGCTGGGCATTGGTGGCGCACACCTTTAATCCCAGCACTCGGGAGGCAGAGGCAGGCGGATCTGTGTGAGTTCAATGCCAGCCTGGTCTACAGAGCGAGTGCTAGGACAGGCTCCAAAGCAATGCAGAGAAACCCTGTCTCCAAAAACAAAATTCTAGCATGTGGCCTTAGAATGGAGCCAGGGAAGGGAAGGGACTGTGGGAGGCTGTCCCCAGTCCCCTGCTGAGGAAGCATGAGGAAGCCAGGCTATTAAGCTGTTCTCAGAGTGGCGCCTGCCTGGGGGGCAGATACAGCCCCCTGCTGTTGCCCAGCCATCAGGTGTGCGCCCTTCTCAGTTGGGACTTCCAGCTAAGGTGCTAAGTCAGGGCTACACACTACTGACCTTTGCCTCTGGCCTCCACCCCACCCAGGGATTCAGTTCTCAGGGTGGGCTTCAGTTCTTGAGCTCCTTGCAGATGTGTTATTTATCCAGTACAGGATCTGAGAGCTATGTCGGATGGGATAGGGCCAGGCTTCACACTCTTGCCTGTGACTCTGTTCACAAGGCCTGGCAAGGATTCAGGAACCCACTGTCCTGCCAGCTGAGTCTCCCTGGAATGTGTCCTCCCAGCTGTGTGAATACTGTCCCTGCCAGGAGCATGTGATCCTCTGGCAGCTTTGGGTCCTTGGGAGGGGGTCCGGCTTGCCTGCCTGGGAAATGCAGAAAGACAAGGGCTCTCTGAGGCCAGAGCCCTGTGTTGACAGCATGGGAACTTGCACCGCGGCCTTGCCTGAGCCAGTTGTGCAGAGGC